ATTACACCCTTTTCCAGCTTTGGTAATACTGAAGTATAATGATCTCATCTTCATTTTCCATCCCTGAGAATTTTGAAATGTCTTATAGTTTGCAGGTTTATTAAGATCATTTATTGATATGAGAATCAAGAAATTCTTCTTTTCACTCAATGACTTCCAAAATTACATTGTTCAATCTCATCATGGGGAAGAGTAATACTGCCACAGTGAATGCAACAAGCACCTTTTCTTGCCAAAAAAAAAAAAAAAAAAAAAAAAAAAAAAAAAAAAAAAAACAGCAAAAATAAAAGAAAGTAGAGGAAGAAGTTGCCCAGTCTTTCATTTTCATTCAGTTTTGTTGACTGAATGTTATCATTTCTCTGCTTCATATCCACAGATAGTGTTATAAGAAGTGAATGGAAACTGACAGTTGGGCTTTTCTCTATGGAGAGTGTTAATCCTGAAATTCTCAAGGGAAAAACCTGTTCCAAAAATTGAGGCAAGCTTTAATTAAACACTAGCCAGGAAGATGGACTCTGACCAGATCCATCCCTGGGTTCCCAGGGAATGGCAGCTAGTCACGTTTTGCAGAAGCTTAACAAGGCAAAACCCATCATTCACTGAATTTCCCATCCTGGTGGGATGTCCAATCAGGGTCAAGCATATACTCTGACGTATTTCCTGTCTATGTACTTCCTGCCTATATGTGATCAAGCACATCCAGTCTAGTTGGTTCAAACAAACTTGTTTGGGGAGTGAAAACATGTGGCTTGTTATTTCTCAAGAACTACAGCTTCCAGCATTCCAGGCAGTTAACTTGTCCTTGGGCAAGTAGGGCTTACAGCTTAACTTTGGCTCTTACGAGTGATCAAACCTGAAGTTGGTTTGGTGACTGACAAATACAGAAGTTTCACTGTCTGGAAATCTTACTCTAGAGCTAAATTTATACATTCATTTTGAAATTTGGATTTATTATTTTTTTGTTTAATTTTTTTAGGAGAAGCAGAATTTAAATTGTTCTTTGGGCAGGCATATAAATGCGCGCGCACATGCGCGCACGCGCGCGCGCGCACACACACACACACACACACACACACACACACACACACACAGAGAGGCATCAACTGTGATCTCTGTATTATTCTCTGCACTATTTGTCATTGTTGTGAAACACAGGTTATGGTTTAAGGGGTCACTGGACAGCTGCAGATCTGGAATTTTCAGACCATTAAATTTCCCAACTTGTCTATTAATGAAAATTCTACAAGTTTAGAGAGATTTAAAAAATAGCTACCTTCTCTTGGTTTCCTGATCCTTTTTCTTAAATGAAAGGATTTCAGGATTTTGTTAAGGGGTCATAATTCTTCCTTGTTTTACTTTGCAATACACCATCTATTCCTGATTTTCAAGTTCCCACTGAAGCAAAGTATTGGTAGTAGAAACAGATGAAAGCAGTCTGTTTGTTAACCAAGATAATTTACAAAAATACACATGATTAAGTAGGTGGCTTTAGATTAGAGATGCATTATTGTTATAATATTAGTTCATATATATAAATACCATTGGCCCACTTGATCTGTGTCTTTCACATCCCTGAATCCAAACAACGTAGATCCAAACTATTCAGAAGAAACATATACACAGGGGACTGGGGAGGTAGCCCAGCAGTTAAGAATACTTCCTGCTCTTGCAAAGGACCACAAATGAGGTCTGTTCTCAGCACCCACATTGGAGGGCTAAAAAATGCCTGTAACTCCAGCTCAGGGGAATCTGAGTCCCTCTTTTGGTCACCATGGCACCCAAATGAATGCTTTCCCATCTGCATAGAAGAATATTATAAGCAGAAAAACTAGCTTTTTTCTATACTGCAAGGCCCATTGTTATTTTTTTTTATTTGTGTGTGCACAAATGTGTATGTGCCCACCTTTCTGAGGTGTGTTCCCCCCTTTTTAAGTCATTAATTGAATTTTAGGTTTTCACCCAGGCCAGAAAATTCATTTTCATGATCAGAGGAGAAATGGATGTCTTTCAGTGGGCCCTTATTGCTCCTGTGCCATTCCCTTCTCTGAAGAGGTTGTCCTAACATCATTGAGGAGTGAGCTCAGGAATGAGAGCACTCAAGCATTGAAACTCCTGGCCTTCAGCTAGGACAGACCCAATAACATTTTCAGTTTATAGCCAGAGATATGAATGGTGGTCCCTGTCCCTAAACTGTCCATTTCTACCTCCTGTCTTAGCACTATTTTCCTTACATTTCACTACTGTTTGTTTTTTAAATTCTTAGTGTTCTTACTTGGTCTTAAGGCATTAAAGATTTCCATGCTAATAATTTCAAGTTCATATTTCCAGCCTACTCTTTCTTCTGAACTTCAGGCTGAAATATTCAACCTCCCATTTAATGCCATGCCTGAATGTCTTAAAGGCATCTCATGTATAAACCCAATCTCAAAGAAAATCATTACAAAGGCATTTTACCCCCTTGAATCAAATAAGGAAACTCCTTAAGTCAAGGCTATTTTTTTAAAGACTTTATACATTCCTACCCCAGAACATTTGTTCTATATATCTTTTGTGGATATATAATCACTAGTTGAAAAAAATAGAATTTTCAGCTTCCAAAATAATAATCTGGTGCAACAACATCACTTTAAGAGCTGAATTTGGTCAGAGAGTTAAACAATATTGAATTCTTCTGCCCACTTGGTTACTGTCACCCTGAAATACAAAGAATGGCTTTCAGAACTGCAGATTAAATAAGAAAGCCCCTGACAACATCTGCTTTTCTAAACAATTCCAATGCTTCTGAAATATGACATTTCGCTGTTGTTTCCTTTTATGGTTTTTTAATTACTGACTTTATTTGCATGAAATGAGGATCTGGGTTGCCTAGGCATTCATCTGTTCCTACTGCATATTCTCCTCTTAAATAGGCATGCTCTGATGTAGTTTCCCTGGTTGCCTCCAGCATGTTGACAGATCTTGCGGTCTTCTCTCCTCTCACTGTCTCCATGTTCCTCCCAGAGAGAAGGGTTATTTGAAAAGAAGATCAATGGGAATTTGAAGTGGCCAATGAATGAGGGGGTCATAGGGTTGGGAACAAGCTATTGGGGATTGCTAAGTAAAAGATGGCAGCAGTCTTTCCCTAACAGTGGTTCTCAACCTTCTAATAATGCTGTGACCTTTTAATGATGTTCCTCATGTTATGGTGACTCACACAATAAAATTATTTCATTGCTACTTCAAAACTGTAATTTTGCTATTGTTATGAAACATAATGTAAATATGTGATATGCAGGATATGCAATATGTGACCCCCAAAGGGGCTGCAACCCACAGGTTGAAACCCACTATTCTATAAGAAAGCAGGGTGAACAAGCCCTGATGAGCAAGCCAGTAAGCACACCTCCATGGCCTCTTCATTAACTCCTGCCTCAGTTCTTTCCCTGGTTGAATTCCTATGCTCACTGCTTTTGACCCTGAACTGTTATATCAGTGGTTCTCAACCTCCTAATGCTGTAACCCTTTAACATAGCTGCTTGTGTTGTGGTGCCCCAACAATAAAATTATTTTTCTTGCTATTTCATTAACTAATTTTTCTACTGTTATGAGTTGTAATGTAAACATCTGTGTTTTCCAATGATCTTTGGCGAGTCTCAACCCACAGGTTGAAAACCACTGGGTTATATGGAAGCACAAGCCAAATAAGACTTTTCCTCTCCAAGTTGCTTTTGGTGTTTTGTCATAACATTAGTAATCTAAACTAAGACAGTTGGAGAATGGGCTATAGGTTGATATTTGCTGTTGTCCTCAGCTGTTTCCATATTGTGTACTCTCACAAGACCCTGCTCCAAGAGCAATCATACACCATCAAAATGTCTTCCTAGGAAATTCTTTGACTAAAGAAGCTTGGAGGCGGCAGTAATTGAAATAAGGAACATGATCTATTACAGACCACAGTCTTCTCAGACATGTCTGCCTTCATTATTTCAAAGCCTCTGTAGTGACATAAAAATTCGGCTAGCACAGAAGGCATGTGTCCACCCTGAACAAAAGGACATTTATTTCCACAGCCCAAGGCTGATGTTGATAGATAACATTTTTGCATATCTTAAACTTTTTAGGGAGATAATATTTAGAAGCAAAAAAAAAATGCTTTCACAATAATCTGTTTTGTGAATGGAATTTACATCTCTGGCATGTAAGAAAAGAATCTTTTGTTTTTGAGACAGAGTCTCACTAGGTTGCCTTAGCTGGCCTGGAGTTTGTTATGTAGAGGAGGCTGGCTTCAGACTCACAGAGATCTCCATATCTCTGCCTCCTGAATGCTGTGATTAAAGATCTTACCTTTGAAAGAGAAAATCAGAAACACAACCAAGAGCTGTTTGACCCACTCGTTCTACCATTGTTGGCCATCATGGCATTTTTAGATTTATGTCACTCCACCTTAAATTATCTAGACTTTGGTTTTCTGTTTTTGAATTTTGCTTGTGTGTTTATAGGTGGTGTGCCTGTGTATGCATGTTCCCATGTGTGAATGCACACATGTGTACAAGCCTGTGTAGACCTGGAGTTGACATTAGGTGTCTTCCTCAATTGCTCCATACTTTTATGTATTGAGGCAGAGTTTCTCCCTGGAGCCTCAACTCAGGGATTCCTGTTAGTCTAGCTAGCCAGATAGGCAGTCTGGCCAGGGCCTAGGAACCTGATTCTCTTCCTCTAGAGTGCTGGGATATCAGCAGGCTGCCACACATGCCTGGCTTTTTCACGTGTTCTGGGGTCCAAACTCCAATCCTTACACTGCTGCAGCAAAGTGCTGGATCCACTGAACCACTCTCCAGCCCCTTGCTCTTAGACAACTTATAGAGCTCTACCTCTGGCAAACAGTGATGCCTGCAGTTTTGAATTCAGCTTTGACATTAGGGATGATCCTAGGAAGATTCCACCAAATCCCACACTTTCCCCATATTATTGTACTACTAAAACTTTTTATAAGACCATAATTTCCCTTATAAAAATGAACCATGGCTGACATCAAAATGCTATGTGAGTTTGGGTATGGACTAAACGGAAATCTTGAATGGTAAAGTCATAGGTTCCCACATTTCTGTAAAGGATTACACGCTGGGACATTCAGGCTGCACTGATATAAGGCAGGAACTAAACAGGAATTTTCTTTTTCTTTCTTTTCTTCTCTTTTTTTTGATATTTGGCAAACTAGGTTGGAATGAATTATTCTCCCTTTTACAGTAGTAAATTTGGTTACAGTTGTGATTAGAAACAGGAGGCTGTTACACGCACAAATGGCCTACCTCTACAGACAATGACATCTTGGCTTGTTATGGGTTTTTGAGACAGGGTCTCCTATGTAGCCCAGACTGGCCTTGAACTCATGGTCTTCCTGACTCACTCTCCTGAGCACTGTGATTCTGAGTGTGTTTTTAGTTTTGTAATTGTGTGTCAGTTTGTGCCCAGGGGGGATATGAGGAAAAACCAAATGGTGAACAGTAGTAATCTAGGGAACTTGGCAGGAGTGGAATTGGGTTACCAAGTACTAACGTCATACATCATGTATTTTATAATTCTTGAGTTTCATAATATCTTTAAAAGTCATGATTTTTGTAATATTTGGATTTTTATATTTATTATATAACCAGAAAAGCACTAGTTTCAAAAATAGAAATAGAAAAAAATGTTTTAAAAATATTTATTTTTACTTTACGTGTATGAAGGTTTTACATGTATATAGGTTTGTGTACCACTTGTGTGTCTGGTGTCTTTGGAGGCCAGAAGACTCCAGGTCCCCTGGAACTGAAATTACAGTCGTAAGCTGCCATGTGAGTGACAGGAGTTGAATCTTGGGCCTTCTGTAAGAATAAAAAGTGCTCTTGACTGCTGAGCCATGTCTCTAGCTCTAGAATATTTTTTTAACTTGCACAAAAACCTTACGATAAAAATGGTTAAAGTATAGATGGTTACTGACAGTTCCCCGGGCATTGATGTAATGGCTGTTCATGTCTCCTCTCTTCAACAGTGCAGATCCAAGTGGAGGAGAAAGAAGAAGACACCGAGGAAAGCTCAAGTAAGCAAGGGGGGCTCCTCAGGAGGAGGTTCCTGCTGATGGAGAGCATGCACCTGCCGTTGTCCCCCGCACCACCACGGAAAACTCCAGGAGTGTGTGGACATGCTTTCTGTCGGCCTCACTGACCAGTGCATAGAATCCTCACTCTAGGTTCTAGTCAGCTGGTGTGTGCACAGCCTGCATATACACATATGCATGTGCACACGTGAATGCACACACACATAGACACACGCACACAACTTACAAGTTGTTCCTTAGGAAGAAAGTTGTAATGTTAATTTTTTTTTCTATTTCTGTTCTATTTTCTCTGGGAAAGCCTTGCTTGATGACAAAACAGATTGGCTTGCCACGAGCTATATCTGTTTCATGCAGGGCTTGGTGACACATGGGAGGTTGCACTTTTTTTTGAACTCACAGAGATCTGACTGGCTCTGCCTCCGAGCGCTGGGATTAAAGGTATGCGCCACCACCGCCTGGTGGGAGGTCACACTTTGGAGGCAGAAGCAGGTGAAGAGCTCTGTGTGTTAAAGGCTAGACTGGACTATGTAGTGAATTGTAGGCCAGTCTATATCAACAGAGAGAGGGAGAGAGAGAGAGAGAGAGAGAGAGAGAGAGAGAGAGAGAGAGAGAGAGAGAGAGAGAGAGAGAGAGAGTGTTTGGGCTAACCAGAGGATTCAACTAAAACTAATGAACATGTCTGTCTTGTGTACCCGGTTCCTAGATGGTTTGTGTGAACTGCTACATTGTTTTCACGTTGGCTAGGCTCAGCTCAAGAGCATGAATCAAGTCCCTTTCCAGGCACCCTGGCCAGTCACCGGCAGGAACATTAGAAAGAGCATTATATGAGCAAATGCTTTGAATTTTTTAAACCAAAAATGAAAGAGCAACATCTCAGGAAGAGTTCATTTTGAGGGACACTGGGCTGACAATTTAATACTCACACACGGTAAGCAGACCACCAAAGGAACCCTGACTAAAAGTCCCTTCCCCCGCTAATGAAAATAGCCTGGAGCTTCACTGCGTCTTGGTGTCATTGCTTGAATGAGAATCAAGTCTGTTTCAAAAGTGTCATTTAATAGATAAACATTCCCTGCTTGCAATTTGGATATTTAGAAACTAGATAATGTACTAAAGTTTGTCTTTTTTTATTCTAAATTTTATTTGTACTGAAATGTGATATTTTATTTGTGTATTAATAAATAAACAAGCCTTAGATCAGGGAAATAGGGAAAGCCAGCAGCCAACCTTACCTCGCCAACTCTGCAGCTTCCAAATGCGAGTTACTTCCTGTCTATGCACACCTTTATTGCCTTGCTGTTCTGCCCTCTGATTGGCTATCTTAGCCCAGCTACCTCACTTCCTCTTCCTACACAGCTCGGTCACTTTCTGTCTGTCTGCACAAACCTCCAGGCCTCTATGGTTGGTACTGGGATTAAAGGGGTGTGTCACCACGCTTGGTTCTGTTCCCTAGTGTGGCCTTGAACACACAGAGATCCTGCCTGCTAAGGGATTAAGGGCATGTGCTGCCTGACTTTTTGTTTATTTAAAATGGCTGGCCTTTTCCCCTTGATCTCCAGGCAAGCTTTATTTATTAAAGCACAAATAAATAAAATATCACCACATCCCAGCCTGGCCTTGAACTTTCTATGTAGCTGGAGATGACCTTGAACTTCTGATCCTCTTGCCTCTTCTTGAAGTATTGGTATTACAGGCATGTTCCACTATGCCCTGCTGATGTGATGCTAGGGACCAAACCAGGACTTCCTGCTTCTGGGTGAGCATGCTCCCTGAGCTGCATCCCTAGCCCCAAACTCTTTCTTATCATATAATAATTTTACAAAATGACAGGTTTTATTGTGACCTTTTATACATGCTCACAATGTACTTTGGTCATATTTACTCCCAAATTTTGATGTTTTTCGGATTGTATTATTAATTTTGTTGATTATACAAAAAGGGTTTCACTATGATGTTTCTATAAACGTGTGTCATTTTACTTTGCTCTTTTTCATTGGCTTGCCATCTACTTGCCTTTTATCAGGAGCCTTTTTCCTCAAATAGTTCCTACTGTCATTTTCTTAGCATATGAATTACGTTACCCTGTCTTTTTTCTCCCTTTTCACTTCCCTAACTTCTCTCTGGCCTGTCTTATATGCACTGATACTTGTTTATGGCTCAGAATGGGTCTTACTCTGGTGGGCATCCAATGTGTCCCAAATACGTCTTCCTTAGGTAGATCGATTGTTCTGTATTTGCTAATTAGGTCAAACTGGTAAACTACATTTTCAGTATCTTTATTTACCTATTTTCATTGTTGTAAGAACATATAATAAGAGATCTATCCTGTCAATGTTTTTGTAAAGTGTACAACAGGGTACTGTGGTTGTTGGGTATCTACAAGGATTGGTTCCAGGATTCCAAAGAGAACCAAAGTCTAAAGATGCACAAGAGCCTTTTATAAAATGCCATGACTTGTCACCTGTGTACAGCTTATGGTATTTTAAATAATCTCTAAATTTTTGTATTATATCTAGGACGGTGTAAACACTCTGGACATAGTACATTGTTAGGGGACAGTGGTGAGAAAAAAAATCTGTACACATTTAATAAAGACAATTTTTCTAAATATTTTTAACTCTGGGTTGGTTGAGGTTATGGATACAAAATGTAAAAATATGAACAACATCCAGGTGGTGATGGAGCATGCTTTTCAACCCAACACTCAGGAGGCAGAGACAAGCAGATCTCTGTGAGTTCAAAGCCAGCCATGAAGGCGGTATTTTTAGAGGCGGTATATCTCGAGCACCTTCAGTTTATGTTATACATTCTGGAGCATGCTCAGTTAAGATTATAAATCAGGGTGGAAAAACTGTCAACACATTCTTGGGCATGATTAGCTCAAGGTCGTGGGCATATGACAAAAATATTTCCAGCCATGTTTAGCAAGCATTCTAAAGATGACTGGCAGAAATACTTCTTGGTATACTAAAGTGCTTTTCTCCAAAATGATTTTAGCTGAAACCATAGGAAAAGGAGATTTCGAAGTAGTATTAATGTAGGACTTTGCTCTTAAGGGCACCTTCCTTGCTTGGCTCCTAACTGTCCCAATAACTGTTTTTTTTCTTTTATTGCTTGTACTTTTGATGTCATGCACAATAAAGCATTACTAAAATCAATATTATAAAACTTTTCCAGAATTTATTTTTGGAATTTTAAAATTTTGTATCTTATATCCAAGTCTAATACATTCTGAATTGATATTTGTTATAGTATAGACTAGGGGTTTAAGTCTCTTTTTCATAGAGCTATCTAGTTCTTCTAGTGTTTGTTGATAACCTCATTTTGTATTCTTTGGAATGTTTTTGAGTGTCACTTGACTGTATATATTCATGTTTACCTTAGGGCTCTCTGTTCCCTTCTATTGGGGTATATGTATGTACTCTTATGTCAATAACATTTCAGTTTTATTACTGAACATTTATATTTTGAAATTAAGTAGTATGACATTACTTTGCTATTTTTATACATTCTTTTCTAATTTCACACATATGTAATGTGTTTTGGTAACATTCTCCCCATTGTCTTTGGATATCCTCCTCTGTCTCTCAATGAAACCCTTACTCTTCCAATCAGCTTCCATCCCTATTTTGATGTCATTTTTGTTTGTGATCTTCTATATACAATCGGAGTTCCCTGCATGTGCATCAGGTGGGGATTATTTACTTGATCAAGGGAAAATTAATACTATCTACATCACTGAGATGTATGAGTATCCTTCTTCCAATAAGTAACTATCTATAGCTCCCTATCAAGGGGTAGGGCCTTATAAGCTCTCTCCCCAAGGCATGATAGAATGTGCAGGTCCTGTGCAGATAGCAATGCTGCTGTGAGCTCATGGGTACAATAGTCAGCTATGTCTAGGAATACGCTTCTCACAGCACTTCTTCCCATGTTCTGACTCTTACATTCTTTCTGTCCCTCTTATCTGCAGTGTTCCATGATCCTTGAAGGGGCTAATATAGGTGTCCTATTTGTTTAAGACTGAACACTTATTCTTAGAACTTCAACTACTTAAAGAATCTTGGCATTGCCTACTGCTACTATAAAATAAACAGAAAAAAAAGGTTAGAGCAGTTTAATCCATGGATACCAATGTTAATATATTTAGAAAGCAGTTGGGCAACATGTATGTTTAGCAAGATAACATAGTAGGTTCCCACCACTCAAGGGCCTAAGATCTCTCAGCCATGGGCTTTTGATCAGTTGTATGGTACTAGGCCTGTGGAAATCCGTCCTGTGGAACAGATCTCAAATCCAATCAGGAAAGAGTTGGTTACACCCATTAGAGTAATGCCATTATTGCACCACTGGATACATCTTGCCTGACAAGTTTGTATTGTATCTTGCAGGATTCCCAATTGTGTTATTTTTAATCATGAATGCTTTTCCTAATTTGGGCCTTTTGTGATTTCATATTAGCTTTTAGAGAGTTACTTTTCTATTAAAAAAATGATATTGAGACTGTAATTGAGTTTCCATTGAGCATTACACTGCTATGTACATTTTTATAACATAAAATATTTCAAGACACAGATGTAATATATCTTTCCACTTCTTGTGTCATCTTTAACTTTCTTCATCAGCATTTTTTAAAAAAAATTTCCAGTGTATAGAAAGTATTGTACTTCCTCAGTAAAGTGTGTTTAAAGGTGCCTTGTCCCTTTTCAGGCTCTTCTAAATACAATTGTCTTATTAATTTCCTTTTTAGATCCTTCATCCTTAGTGTAAAAAGTACAACTGAATTTAATATATTGACTTTGTAAATTCTGTGAATATTTTTACTAGATTCATTTATTTATCCTAATAGATGTTTGTAGAGTCTTGAAGTTTTCCACATGTAAGATTATGTCTTCTGTAAATTGATAATTTACTTTTGTTCAATTGAGGTCCTTTTCCTTCTTATTTTCTTTTTTGCTGCCTATTGGTTCTAGTAAGGGATTTTCAATACTATACTGCAAGAGTTTGCTTCTTTGGCTTACTCATGATGTTTGAGGGAAAGCTTTGATTTTTTTCTTCACTGTTGACCATATTAGTCACGTTTACGTAAGACCTTTATCATGGTGAGGTGATTCTTTCTATTCTTATTTCGTAAAGATCTTCTACATGTTCAGTTTTATTAAGTGCTTTTTTATACCTATTAATGTGATCTTTGTCCTTCATTCTGTCAAGGTAGCAATGTCATGTTATTTGAATTTTTCATATTGAACCATCTTTACACCTTATTGATAAATCTTACTTGGTTATGGTGTATAGTTGTTTCACTATGTGGTTACATTGAACTCATTAATTTTGCATCTACATTCATCAGAAATAATTTTCTTTAGTCTCTCAGGTATGTCAGTAGTGTGGGTCTTGTATAATGAGTTAATGTTCTACCTCTTCAATTTCAAAGTGTTTCATAAGCACTTGTAGTAGTATTAAAGAGCACCCACTAGAACCATCCGACAGCATGCTTACTTAAAGACTGTGGAATTTATCAGTGAATCAAGTAAATACAGAAATTGTATATTTTTTAAAGAATGGAAAAATAAGAATTATTTGAAGTAAACAATGAAGATGAGTTAGGTGTGGTACCTGTAGTCCCAGGAGCTCGGGAGACAAAAGCAGGACACTCAATTGAACCCAGTAGTTTGTGCCACCCTGGTCAAATTAAGCAGACTTCTAAAATGAATACTAAAATGCTAAAAAAAGAAAAAGGTGGATAATTTGTACTAGGAAGACTCCAAGGATTTCATCAATTTTTCTAAAACTGTTTGAGTGTGTAGACATTTCCTGTGAGTCCTGGTCTGTCCTAGGAAAACTAGTAATAAATACACAATGCTTTATAATTCTACATTATATGTTACATGGTAGCCTTCAAACTTGAGCTTGATTTGAATGGTTTCAGAAATCATAATATATTGTTAAACTCCAAGTCATTGATTTATCTTAATAAACAAAGACTGGAACTGGAAGAATTAATTACAATGGAGAGACCCATATTTGAATATTTGAACAGATGAACCACAGAGCAAATTAAGGTGTGTGTGTGTGTGTGTGTGTGTGTGTGTGTGTGTGTGTGCATATGTGTGTAAAATACTATTTCATATTACATTGTGGTGAACCGATTGTCACACTCATTGGTATGTGGCAGGGTTATTAAAAAGCAAGAATAAACTTGTTAGAGAAAATAGGCATGTTATGATGCTTCTTACTCATGCATCACTTGCTGTGGTTAGGTGAAGAAGAAGATAAACTACCAAGAAGAGAGAGCTTGAGACCAAAGAGGAAACGGACCAGAGATGTTATCAGGGAGGATGACCCAGAACCTGAGCCAGAGGATGAAGAGACAAGGAAAGCAAGAGAAAAAGAAAGGCGGAGGAGGCTGAGGAGAGGAGCGTAAGTTATTCCTCCTGTATAGCTGGCGGCGTTATTATGTAAAAACACATAAAAGAAAATGGCTCTATGTGGGACTCACTGGACTTTAAATCAGTCACTAAAATTACTTCTAGCTAGACAGGCTTAATCTGATTCTGCCATTTTCCTCCACTTAAACATATTTAAATACTGAAATATAGTCTTTAAAATGAATGCACACTAAGAATGGCCTATGAAGAATTCTCCCGTGCAAGACTTAAAGTGTTACAGGTTGTTACAATATCATGGTTGTTTTAATATTTGAAAATTATAACATATAGAAAACTTGAGAAGAATGAGCTCTGGCCACTTTATCTTATGGAGAAGCATTTGGTAAAATATGGCTAAATCTAGTACAAGAGCTACTTTTTGCAGTTTTATAAGGTTATTACTAAAGAAAATGAGTACAAGACAGAGTTGCAAGTAGTATGCAATGCCTCAAATGTTAACTGCTAGGAATTTTATAGAAAGGAAGTGTGCTGGCTTTTATTATAGAAGGTTGGGGATACACATGTACACGTGCACACACACGTGCGCACACACACACACACACACACACACACACATGCGCACATGTATAATTTGCTTGTTCTTGTTTTGAAGACAGGGTCTCACTATGTAAGCCTTGGTTGGCCTGGAATTCACTATGTAAGCCAGGATGGCCTCTGAAGTGCTAAGATTAAAGGTGTGAGCCACCACACTCAGATCATATTTATGTTTAAAAAAAAAAATCAGCATCTTTTGCTCCAAACTTTTACTTCTGACACTGTAGAGACTAATGTGTGTAAGTGCTATTTTTAAATGACTCAAGATTACTTTTTGGATTACTAGAAACTTGCAGATGGCAAGGAGGGAGGGCAAGTGAGCCTACACACATCTAATGATGAAAGACCTAAGCTCTTTGTTTGATTCAAGCAAAGAGCCAACCTGTTCTATACTTGAAGGTTATGGGGCTTTGTGGACTACCACCAGGCAGTGAGAGCCAATACTCCTCTGCTTATTGGAGAATGTGCTCACCTCATCCTCCCAAGATGATACCTTTCAGTATTCAATAACTCTACTATATTATCCCCAGAAATAATCATTATTTAATGAAACCATATGGGAATTGGTCAGGTCGGGGAGAAAAGCTTTGTGCTAATAGACTGTACTTCCTTTTAGAATACAAGTAACCAGATAGATTTCTTAATATTTTTAGCTTAAGTTTTGAATTTCCCTTCTACTGTTATTTCTTTTCCCTTCCTCTTGAATACCAAGGTATCATTTGCTTTAGATTTTAACTCTGATATTTTTATTTGGGTTTTTTTTTGGCAAGCATTTAAAAAAAATGAAAATGCAATCAAATTTCAAGTCCCATGCTGTGGGATGTTCTGTATGGCAAATGTGTTGCTCTGATTGGTCAATAAATAAATCACTGATTGGCCAGTGGCTAGGCAGAAAGTGTAGGCAGGACAAGGAGGAGAATAAAGCCGGGAAGTGGAAGGCTGAGGCAGAGAAACACTGCCATCCACCACAATGAGAAACAGCATGTGAAGATGCTGGTAAGCCACGAGCCACGTGGCAAGGTATAGATTTATAGAAATGGATTAATTTAAGCTGTAAGAACAGTTAGCAAGTTAGCCTGCCACGGCCATACAGTTTGTAAGCAATATAAGTCTCTGTGTTTACTTGGTCGGGTTTGAGCGGCTGTGGAACTGGCAGGTGAGAGAGATTTGTCCTGACTGTGGGCCAGGCAGGAAAACTCTAGCTACAGTCCCATGTAATGTTATGATGGTTAGTGCTATTATACAGGAATATGTCCTGTTAGCAAAGTTCATTCTTTTTAGGAGGTATTGCATCAAGAAAGCATCACCAATGTACACTAGTGTGATACAGATTCCATAATAGAATTTGCTTTTCCTCCTCATTTATGCCCAAGGAAAAGAATCTTTCTAAGAAGATACAGTGGGCTGGAATTTTTCTTCTTGCCTGACCTACTTAGGGCTTTCATATAAAATACCTGAGCACACACCTTTGATCCCAGCACCCGGGAGGCAGGGGCAGGTGGATCTCTGTAAGTTTAAGGCCAACTTGTTCTACAGAGCAAGTTCCAGGACAGGTTCCAAAGCTACACAGAGAAACTTTGAAAAACAAAAAACAGAAAAACAAAAACAAAAATGCCCAGTTTCTGGGAAAGAGGTCTGTGCTCATCAATTGGATCTTCTTCTATGAGAGTGTCTCACCTCAGTTGGTCTCACTTCCATTTTGGTTCTGAGAATCCTGTAGTCACTCCCCATCTCACAAACCCTCCACATAGCTAACTTTAGTCTCCACAGAATTTTCAAATTATGTTGCCAAAGCCATAGTACTCTACATATTTAGTGTTAACATTCTGACTAAAATTTTAGGGTCTATTTTCTTTTGTTTGCTTTATAGATAAGAATCTTTTGTTAAAAAGGAAAATACACTTTTGAAATGTATTTTGAAGAAAATTAGGCAAATGAGGACACATTGGTTTAAGAGAATTAATTCAGAATCTTTCTTCTTTAAATGTTCAAGCAAAGCCTTGGGAGTTTCCCTTACCCTTAGAAACATTTAAAACCAAGGAAATCTAAGGCTGTAATGCTATATTTGGCGATGGTTAACACATAGTGCCTTGTTAGACACTGTAGAGTATTTCTAGTGACATCCCTGGCTTTTCCTGACCCACTTTTAAACGAGTAAGCAAAACGTTCAGAATAGTGAAAATTCAGTATGTTATGCTTTCTTTTTCCTCACAACTGTTGGTAAGCTTAAGATAGAAAGTCTTTCTTTCACAGAGCAGTTCTGAATTTTAGAAAGTAGAACATATGTCACATGTATTATATATATATGTATATATATATATATATATATATATATATATATATATATATATATATATGAAGAGCTCTTTCTTTGAGTGGTTCCTAGATAACCAGTTTCCTTGTAATGCCGATGAACATGGTATTTTAGTTGCTTGGGTATTTGAAGGTAACTTGTCTATCAGCCACACTCTGAAGTACAGCAGGATCCTCTTGGGAGTTACTAACAATTAACAATGAAGTCTTGAAAAATATACAAGTCTCGGGTCACTTAGTGTAGGGGTGCACATCTTTTCATGTCATTGGAGCCTTGTAGAGCATTACTATGTTCTAGTTTACTTTGATTCCATTACTGGGTTCAGGGTGAGTACTCAATGTTATTCAGGAAAGTTTGATACATAAGCATTTCTTCAATAAATATTTATGCAGACCTTCAAATTTATAGTACATTGAAGGAGAAGCTACTCAAACACAAATTATAATGAAATAAGTTAGGACATACATGCTGAAAAAAAATATGAGCAAAGTATTTGGAGGCTGATAGAACTCAAAGTTTCTGGAAAGTCAGAGTCAGGGCTACATCAGAAAAGTCTGTTATAGTCTCTATATTTGGCATGTAAATTCATAAGCTTTGAGGCTATTCATATATTGATTGGCTCATTCTTTTATCCTTACTGAGACTGTCTTATATATGATTCATAGTAGAACTCAGTAATGTAGTACATTATTGTACTTAATGTACACATGGTTTATTCTAGATAGTTGGTCAGCTAAAGGCTTGAAATATGAAATAATTAAGTTACTAATATTAAGTTTTCTTATTGTGAATTGACTCTATTCTTGAGAGTTTCATGCATCTAGTTCCTTTTGCTAGCATTCTTTATTGTTGAAAGAAGCAGGTTTTATGATTTGTATTCATATCTATAGCTACATGGAAACAAGTTCAATTATTTTTGTGAAAACATTTCTAACCTTTCTAAGACTAACCAACTCAACCTATATATTGCTTCAGATTGTCTCAAGTATTTATGCCATTGTTATACAGTATCACAGAATTTTGTATAATAAATACCAAATAATTAAAAAGAAACTACCCAATGACAATCTGAATTACATTTTAGTGCCCTTATATAGTTTTCTTGCACTGAGATTGCTATTTATTTATTTTTCTTGAGACAGGGTTTCTCCGTGTAGTTTTGATGCCTATCCCAGATCTTGCTCTGTAGACCAGGCTGGCCTTGAACTCACAGAGATCCGCCTGCCTCTGCCTCCCGAGTGCTGGGATTAAAGGCATGCGCCACCACTGCCTGGCTCTGAGATTGCTATTTTAAGCAAAATACATGTCCTAGTTTCCTTTCTGATAAAACACTGACCAGAAACAACTTGTGGAGGGAAAGAGTTTAAGCCAATGGTTCTCAACCTTCCTAATGCTGCAACCCTTTAATATAGTTCCTTATGTTGCAGTAACCCCAACCATGAAATTATTCTTGTTGCTACTTCATAACTTTAAGTTTGAATCTGTTTTGAATTGTAATGTAAATATCTGATAGCAGGATATCTGATAGGTGACCCCTGTGAAAGGGTCATTTGACCATCAAAGAGGTCATGCTTCACACACTGAGAACCACTGGTTTAAGCCTTCACATCACAATCTATCATTGAGGGAAGTCAGGGCAGGAAATCAAATAGGAGCAAAGGTAGAAACCGTGGAGGAGAGCTGTTTACTGACTTATCCCTCTGGCTGGCAGGTAAAGCTACAGCCTAGGCCAATCTGCCAAGGATCAGTGTGATGGGTAGCTGTTCTAGCTATGACCTTGAAGCACTACCCCTAGTGAGGCAGCAGGTAACTACTCCACCTGCCTATGACCTTAAAGTATATGCCCCTGGGGTGTGGCTGCTGGTGGCTGCTGCGGGGGAAGGTGGAGTGGGGTGTGGGGTTTAAGAACTGGGATGCAGGTACATGGTGCTCTCTTTGCTCCCTCATGGCTTGGGTGCTGGGACTGACCAGGCAGATCTTGGAATAAGATCAGCATGGGACATAGCTCAGCTTGATAAATACCCGTGCTGTAGTGAGTTACCCTCCAATAATTCCTTTGTTCATTTAGTAGGCTCCATGGATTTCACACTTTAGGTCAGCATCCTTCACAGTAGGCTGGGCCTTCGTGCATCAAGTAGGAATCAAGAAAATGCCTAACCCACATACCTACAAGCCAATCTGATAGAGGCAATTCCTCAATGGAGGTTCCCTCTTCTTAAGTGTGTTGAGTTGACAAGCAGCTAGAAGGTGATATTTTACAGGGGCAATCTGAATTTTTATTTGAGGAATAAAGGCACGATTAGAAACTATATACTGACAACAAGTGGGAGATTACAAAGTCATTTTCTAGCCTGGCCTGTAATCTGCAAATGTGTCCTCCTACATTATGATTAAGAATTTAAAAATAGCTTTCCCCCATATTCCTGTTGTATCCAGTAATAAGCTTAGTGAACTATAAAATATGTTCTTCAATAATAATGACTAGTTTACAATCTCTTTTTCAGTCTGGGTCGAGTGAGGAGAGAAACTTCAACAGTGACTTGAATACTGAGAATTTTATATGAGAGTTGTTAGGGGTTATAGATAAAAGAGTTGGGAACGAGGTCTTTGGTAGGAGCAAGCAGGGAAGTGAAATATGATGGCAACAGCTGTAGAAGGCAGCTAGCAGTCATGAGCTGGAACCCTGGAAAGGATTAAAATGCAAATGTGAAGAGTAGAAGAGAGATCCAGGGAGCGGAAGCCTGAAGCTCCATCGAGGACTGATGCACGGAAGTGCTGGTTCCACGGGGGTGGGTGGGGGGTGGGGTGGTGGGGGTGGGGTAGGTAGAGCTAATTCTGCTAAGATTTGGAGAAATGACAGAATAGACGCACCTCCAGCTATGGGAGGGAGGTCTATTCAGCTCCGGGAGTAAAGTGTTGCCAAGGAAGAAGTGTCTATCTAGGCGGCAAATGGAAGTAGACAGGAGGCCAAGGAAAGGATGGAGGTACTTAGTGACTGCTACAGTTTGATTATAAAGTTGACTCTGCTTACAAAGCAAAAATATGAGTTACAGAGTCCCAGTCTCAGTACTGTGATATTAAGTATGAAAGGGTGTATTTAAAATTGAGACATTAGCCTAATAATTAAAACAATCTATTGCCAACAATTTGATTTCTATGATATAGTATTAGGTTGCTCCACTAAAGCCACGTGACTCATGTTTAGATTTTGTTTCCTTTAGCTTCCAGTTTTGCAACGGTAGGATCACACCAAAGAGAACGCAGCATCTTCTTAGTGAGAAGCAAAATCCCTTTGAAGGCGTCTTCAAAGCATTTGCCTCCACCAAAAGCATTTCAAGTTAAATTTTATCAAATGAAGTTTGGGGTGTAATTAACAGATTAGGCTTCTTCTAAGAAGCAGAGTTTCATTTTTCCCTGTTTCAATTTTTCCGCTTTTCTCTTGAGACAGGACTAATTTAAAATTTCTAAGGACACTTCAAAGACATCTTCACCTTTAATTTATTATTCGTATTGAAAAATAAGGTTCTTAAATGAAACATAGAATTGGGGAGGCTGGCTGCCAAGGGGAACAGGAGAGAAGTGTGTATCTTGATGGATCTGTTACTATCCTTTCCACAGCTTCCCCGTTCTGACAGTTGGAGGCTGAGGACATAAAAGAACAGTTCCATTTTGAGCATTAGAATGCAAATAGCATTGTTGAAGGTTATAATAATCCCCAAGCCGGATGGACGTTGGTGTTGAGATGTGAATTCTAGTGCTTAAGGGACTCTTCATTTACTATGGGCAGCTGAGTTTGAAAAAGGTGCTTGGGTATCTAACAGGAGCCTTTTTTAGGTTTGGAAATGAAGCAAAGTTTAACCTTTCATTTTCTTTTAAAGGGAAGAGGAAGAAGAGATTGATGAAGAGGAATTAGAACGATTGAAGGCACAGTTAGATGAGAATAGACAAATGATTGCTACTGTCAAATGCAAACCTTGGAAAATGGAGAAGAAAATTGAAGTTCTCAAGTAGGTTGCTACTTTTTACATACAGAAACATACATCTCAGAAATCTTATTACCTATGTAGTATAGATGATGCTATAATCACATGCATGCATATGCCAGAGAGCTTTGGGATTAATAATTATAATAATTGTGAATGACATCAGCATGTAGGCTCCTGGAACTTCTGTGGTCACCTTGAATCATTAAATTAAATTGGGGTTACTTAGCTACTATTTCTCTGCAAAACAGTGAACTTTACAGGTCTGTGTGGTTGCTTGCTTTGTTTTTCTATAGCATTCTAGATTCTAGTGAACTTTTCCATCATGACTCTCATGAAAGCACAGGGAGGCTGCTACACTGACAGAACAGTAGATAGGATTCAATTGAGGCTTATGCTACCATCTAGTCCTTGCTCCCGTGGGAGTTAGCCCCTTTCCCTCTCATGTAGACTGCTGAGGTGGGTGCAAACACACCCAGCACATAGCTTTCTAAACTTCTCATATGCAAAATCAAGCAAGCACCTCTTTCTGGGGTCGGGGTTGGGGGGTGGAGAGTTATCATTGTTTTCCTTGCTGTGACCTTGGGAGTGGCAGGCTGTGCAAAGGCACATGGCTGCATTGATACCTATGTCTCCATCTTTTGATTTTGCCCCAGACGTTATTTTTCCATGAGACAGTTTTATATGTGGTGGTGAGTTTCCGAAGTTATCTTCCTCCCAGCCCATTTCATCAATAATGCTGTCACAGGATAGGATCACCTAATTGTTGCTGGAAATGATTAAAGGAATCGAAGGAGCTCTCAGGATTGTTCTCTTCTAAGCCTGACTCTGCTAGAGTCAGTGTGTTATTTGAGGAAATTACTTTAGTTTTTAACTTCTTGAGAGCTCAGTTACTACATTTAAAAAATAAAAACCACCTTTTGTTTTTGGATCTGGCAGCAGTCCTTTACCGAGTTTGTGTCTGTCTGTTTGGCTATCAAAATACTTTTAATTTAATGAGATGATAATGCTGTTGACATAGGTTTTAGAAGTATCCTTATTTCGCAACCTACAAGTCTTTTCTGGCTCCTGAAATAAATTTTGAGATATAAATAGCTCATGAAATTCCTAAACCTGAGATACACGTATTTGATTGGAACCTCTAGCTCATCCCTACATAATCTGGAAAGCTTCATTCCTATTTTTCTCTCTCCAAACCTCACTGTGGTGATATTTTATCTGTGTACCCCAGTAAAGTTTATCTGAGGATCAGAGGAAAAAGCCAGCCACTATAGTAAACATAGAGGTCAGGCACATGCCTTTAATCCTATCACTTGGAAGGCAGAGATGTGTGGTGGTACATACCTTTAATCCCAGAACTAACCATAAAGGTCTGGAGGTCTGTACAGACAGGCAGGAAGTGACAGAGCTGGGCAGGAAGAGGAAGTGATGTAACTGGGAGAAGAGAGGAAATGAAATGGCAGAACAGAAAGGCATATAGGCGGCATATAGGCGTGGGTATACAGGAATTAGGTCCCTTTGGCTGAGGATCTCCAAGTGGTGAGAATGTGGCTGGCTTCTTTCTGATTTTCTGATCTCTCAGCCTTAACCCTAATATCTGGCTCTCATTTTTTTTTTTATTAATAAGACAATTTAGCACTTCATCTTACACCCCACCCTCTCAGAGAATCTCCAACAAATGAAAGGTACCAAAAAGCCCAGTTCTGCATTCTTGGTGATTACTACAACTTCCTCCCCTATTACCTCCAGCTGCCCAAGTCCCCGCTTAAGCATTCAGCTTTTGACCATACTTTGGCACAAACCCAGCTTGTGTCATACACATTATCACCCATCACCTACAACCTGTATCATCCCCCTGCTTTGCTTTGGGCCCGCAGCTTCTCAATCTCTGGGACTTGAGAACCTGCCTGGAAGTTGCTTTGTTCAAATAAACCTGTTGATATACTTTTCCAGTTCAACTTGATCCAGCTCATTGTGTTGGCAGTGAAACCTAGTATTGAGGGACAGAAAACCTATTAACACACACACACACACACACACACACACACACACACACACACACACACACACACAACTATATATAGAAGTTTAAGTATTAGAAAATAATAGCCATGAACTTTCAGAGAATAAAACTGAGGAACAATGCCAAGTAGCAGCCTGGAGCTATAGAAAAAACATTTTACCCTAACACACACACATACCACATATACACACAGGCACACACAGACACACAGACACAGGCACACACAGGAATACACAGACACACACACAGGCACACACACACACACACACACACACACACACACACACACACACACACGTCTCTTTACCTGTAAGACAGTAGAGTAGATACAGACCTCAAACTTGAGTTTGAATTTCTTGCCTTCAATTTATTGGTTGTAGAAAATTGAAGGAGATGTAGAGACTTTTTGACCCAGTGTTTCTCATGAAATTATATTTTTAGCATAATATGCCATAGAAAGCATGTGGGATGGTGTCAGCACACAGCACAAATCTGGGAAACATTGCTGAGAATAGACTTCACATTCCATGACCTGCAGTATGATAAAACGGAAGAGAGAAGTGGGAATCAACAGGGCTAGGTACAAGAAACCTAGTAACAGGGGGACTCAGGAGCTGTGGAGGATGGCGACACATTGGTAGTATATGGCCCAGTTACCAGATTTTAAAGTGTTAACAAAAGGAAATAGATGATCTCTTGACAGTTTGGCAAAATCTGAGCCAGATCGCTCTTGGCTCTCTAGAAACATGCCTGTAATGCCATCTATGCACTGCTGATGCTTGGGATTGTGGCTGCCCTAATTTCCCTGTGGGAAGAACATGTTAATATTAATGCCCCATTTGTCTTCCTCTGCAGGCCTTGAAGCTGTGTGAGCTTCTTCCATATAGATTCCAGTGCTCACTGCCTCATAGAATATGCTGGAAGGTTCTTCTGCCCCAACATCGCTAGGACAAGAGAGTCAGACAGCTTTCCCCTCTGCTTTTGTCTCTTTCAGAGTGTGCCAGCTAATTTCCTGTCAGACACAAGCTAGAGTCATCTGAGAGGAGGGAATCTCAATTGAGAAAATGTCTCCATAAGACTGGACTTCAGGCACCCTGTAGGGCATTTTCTTAATTAGAGATTGGTGTGGAGTCCTAGGTTCTATAAGAAAGCAGGCTGATCAAGCCATGGAGAGCAAGCTAGTAATCAGCATTCCTCCATGGCCTCTGCATCAGCTCCTGCCTCCCGGTTCCTGCCCTGCTTGAGTTCCTGTCCTGGCTTTCTTCAATGATGAATAGTGCTGTGGAAGTGTAAACCAGATAAACCTCTTCCCAAAGTTGCCCCTTGGTAACAATGTTTCATCACATCAGTCGTAACTCTAATTAAGATATAGAAAAATCTACTTTGAAAGAGTATTTTCAGGATTATGTTTTTCCCAGAAGCAACCTCAAGACTTTGTTCTTGCTAAGTCTGTGGGACCAAGTCCATAGGCTCACCATTATTGGAACAGACATTTTGTCCCAGGTTTAAGTATGTGTGGAATTCCAAGACTTCCCTTTTTGCTCTGGAGTCCAACATGTATAAAATTCTAAAATTGATTATAGAGAGGGTGAAGGCTTTTGGGCTTGTCAAGAGAAAAGTCTAAGGAATGGCAGCTTATGGTTCTGGGTGGGGTGTGGGGGGGCAGTTGGAAGTCATTCAGCAATCATTCCCAAATCTTTATTATTTGTTTTTTATATTTTTGAGATTGTAATATAATTGCACCATTTCCCTTCTCTTTATTCCCTCCTTTCGAATTCATGGCCTTGTTTTTCATATATTTCTTAAATACATAAATACAACCTGCTCAATTTATATAATGTTCCTTGTGTGTATGTTTTCAGGGCTGAACTTTTAAAGAACATTTCCCACTATGAATATAAACATCTTCAGGGATCCGAGTCAAAGGATAGTAATGGAGCTAGGAAGATAACTTAGTGGCAGAGCATATGCCCTTCTGTGTGTGAGACTCTTGGTTCAAATGCCAGCACTGCAAAAATGGGTAAGGGGGAAAGATGGTTAAGCAGTCTATGTAGACTGTACTATGTAGGTGGGAAGCTTTGGGAATGGTTGTGTCTCCATAGGACTCTCCAACAAGGCTCAGGAGTGAGTGCTTGGCATGTTCAAAGCTATGGATTTGGTTCTATAGAGCTGAAAGGAACCCCTTTACTTCATTCTCCCCACCCATGTACAGTTGTGCTTCTCATTCTCTGTCCTTTGTGTGAATTCAGTTTAGAATGTATTTAAACACATACAGATCTTTGCACAGATGGCCCGAGATAGAAGTCTTTATTTCTTACTCTAAAAAACACTGGTACAAGAGCAGGAACTAGAGCCGCTATGTTCAGCTCTGAGAAGCAGAAGCTGTAATTAAGTACATCACCCTGTGGATAGTTTATGAAGTGGTTGAGAATATGTGTACAGGGAGAAGGGGAAAGTATAGTGCACTTTTCATTTATCTGAAAGTCGAGGATAATTTATATTACTTTTCTATCTATAAAATTTCTACCAGTGTGAATATTAAGTATATTCCATAGTTCAGTTACTCATAAGATTTGCACAGAGGTTGCATGACTAGAACTTCCTGCCTGTAAAAGACAGCCACACTCACCAGGGGTGAAATAACACACCTGGATGGAAAATAACTGGCATAACTTCTTACTCACCAGAAACCCAAACCCTTGACTACAACACAGCATTATAACTAAGACTAACTGACCAACCACCTTATTTTGCTGCTAGGACATAGCCTTAAAAACAAACAAACAAGCAAACAAACAAACAAACCAAAGGACTGGACTTTGATCTAAAACTAGCTCCAACTTCAGCAATTTACAAATCCAAGAGGGTGGATTATGGTCCATGGTTCTCAGATTGCTGTCCTCAGAGGTCAAGTGGTTTGGCCAAATCAGTTCATGACAAGGAGGTCCTGAGGTAAGAGGGTGGGCACCATGTGGTTACTAGCCAGCTACACCCGGAAGAG